TCTTTCCCTGCCTTGTCCTCACTCCACTGAAGGTGCTAGGTTACCTCTCCTGCACTTGGTATGCTCAGCTGATAACAGACATGCTCTGTTTACCTTCCTACTATGGGCACTGGGAGACTTTGTTAATGTGAGCTAAGAGCTCGGAGGTTCCTGGATGAAAGCCACTACGTAAGTGCAAAGTATTATTTATTTTCCAGAGACTACAGAGCTGTCATAACCATAATGATTTTTATTTATGTAGTATTGTACTTCCCAGGCTGGCAATAAAAGCCCTGTAAAAATTGCTCCTTTATTTCCACAACAATCTGTCTCATCCTCTAAGCTGCAGCCGCTGCGGGTGAATCACCACGCGAGAGGGGCCATGAAGGAGCATGTGGATAAGGGCAAGGGGTGGGCAGGAATGTTTCTCATCAAGCAACAGCCTTGTCACATCAGCATGATATCCCAGCACGGGCACAAAAATTCTTTGTGCGCAAAGATCTTTAAAAATAAGAATTAACTTTAGTAGTGGTTATTGTAGTAGTATTGTATTGTTTGGAGATTCTCTGACGGAAAATGTAGAATAGGGTACAAAGGTCCTTTTCAATGATAACAGAAATAGGTTGGCGATTCTCTGGAGTCCTGAGTGAGCCTCCCAGATAGTGAGACCCAAAGGGCTTATTCTGACAGTCTGGAGGACAGTGGCCATGCAGCTACCGCCACTAGCCTAGAGCTCCTGGGGAACCTGGTCTCACCATGCAGGAAGTATTAATTCTTTTCAAACATTTCAAGCAAAGAGGAATTCTCCAAGATCAGGCGTAAGTCATGCTGCTGGCTAACACATCTGCACCTTGTTTTATCTTCAGTTGTGAAGACAGTTGTTTTCTGGGAAGGCAAAGAACATGGGCAGTTCCTCTTTTAACTTTTTCCATTGTCTTCACACTTCCCGAGCGAATTGAATGCACACAGGTTGGAGGGGTTAGCATGGGCATTCTAAAGCATGCTGAGGAGCAGAACCCAGCTCTCAGCAATTAAATCATCCATCTCTCCTTGGAACATCTATTAACACACCCTTAACACTCAGCGGTATCACTTCAGCCAAAGTGTCCTACAGTATAAACCATAGCAGTGGTAGAGAGGTCATCATTAAATTATGTTGCATGAGCTTTCCTCCAAATCTACTTGTCACTGAGGACCTGCTCAGTGTTGTTCTCCAGTCATTTGCTTACACTCATGAGCAAGAGCACTCTTCATGCTGCTTGGATCTTGCCTCTCCAGTCAAACAGAGCCCACCTTTCATTTGGGAGAGGTAATCTGGGAATACTGAAGGCTGGAAGGTGGCTTTCCTGTGGCCAAAGCTGGTTATCACTTATTTAACAAGACTTGACTCGAGCTTTTCCTGCAAATGAACATGTTATAGTTATTTTGGTGTAGAATCTTTGGTGGCTAATAGCTTCAAAATCATGCTGAGGCTTTTGCGTTACTGAGGGCTGCAACAGGACCTTTTCTCATCTATTCAATCAATGTATTTTCACTGAATGTATAGGCATAGCTTTGTATCTCTGAGATCTCTGAACCTCTGAATATTTGACTGAAGTTGGCCAATAGGTTCCCAAGCTGGTGAGAGAAGGAAGGGAGGGAGCAGTCACAGACAGCTCAATCACATAAGCTCTGCTAGTTTAGGAAACCAGGCTAAAAATAGTATAATACTCGGTGAGACTGTTTCCAAATGTCGTACTACCGCAGCATGCTAAAGCCTGGGGTATTTTTAAGAATTTAAGCTGTGCTGCAGAAACATGTGCAAATATAATCACCCAGAGCTTGAAAAATGAAACCAGCTCTGCAGAATACACGGACTGAAACCACCGATTTCCGTAGGAGCGAAGTCTTTGCTAAGTCCCTCTGGCTCTGTGTCCCAGCTAGGAAGCCCATGCCCAGCGCTGCAGGTCTTCCTCCTCACAGAACACCACTGCCCTTCCTCAGAGACACGAGCAAGTGACTCCTCTGGTTACAAACATAGATGAGAAAGGATTGAATAACAGGGGCATAAACGTCCAAACCAAAGAGCACATCTGGAAACTTTATGTGGCCAAACTGACCAGAACTCAGTGTCCCCACTAGGAAAATCAAGAATCAACCCTCTTCGACCATGCAGTTCCCTTCCCTTGTCCTCATCCTCAGACAATGTTTTTGAAAAAAACAGTCGCTGGTCCCTACTCTTGTCTATTTTGGTGCTTAAGCAGAGCTAATTTTGGAAGAAAGAAAAGTCATCTTTTTGTGTGTGTGCAGCACGCTGATGTCAAAGGAAATATTGGCCACTTCCAAGGAGGGCGGGGAGCACGGACACGTCCGAGGGCGCTCCATGGGTGGGAGCGGGACAGAGTCCCAAGTGCAAGGTGAGGACATGCATGACAGTTCTTGATTTGGCTGGCGGCTCCGCAGCGCAGCAACAAAAGTGCTTTCAATAAAGCTGACTTGCTGAGGACAGGGTGGACCTGAATTGCAGCTCTGCCATTTTTCAGTAAGCCAGGGCAGTAGTTAGAGGCTTTGCAAAGCTGGTATCATTGAATGAAAGCAAAAGGATGTGTTTTGCAATGCAGGAGAGAAAAGCACCCTCTGCTCTGCTACGGGTTTACAAGAAGAGCTACCCAAGAAAGATTTCATATCCACTCAAGCCAGAAAACACTGGCAAGCCAAGATGCTCAGGGTTTTCAAATACGGGTTTGCAACTTGTCAGTGAGCAGTAAGAATCACATTTGGTCTCTCCCACAGCGGTTTGATTTTGATATTTACTCCCAGGTGCCTTGAAGAGAACACAAGAAACATCCCACTTCAAAGCCGCTAGTTCTGGAAGCGAAAGGTGTGGGAAAAAGAAAGAACAAGAAGGTTCTTTTAGGCCCATGGTTTTAGAAAGTTCCACTAATCGGGGTCGTTTTTAATTTTGGAGCAAAACATTCTGCGGCTTTCATGGCGGGAAAGTTCAAGCAGAGCCTGAGAAGCTCCTGGGACTTCTAATGTACTTACAGCTATGTCAGCTCTAAATTACAAACATGTACATTGTAAATAGAAAGCATAGGAGCTTGGTCAGAGTGGGGCGTTTGGCAGCAGTCTGCTTTTGGGGCCAATCTCCCAGAGATCAAGTATGTTGAGATGTGTATATTCTTTTTCAGGTGTTTTGGGGACAAAAGTTCTCAAAGAAGAGAGGATGATGACTTGCAAGCTTGGCTGACTGTTATATGACTGCTTAACATATGCTAAGGGAAATCCATAATTTACCTAAATTGGTGAAAACTCACAAGGAAAATCAAAGTTTGACACTGCTCCCAGGAAAATGGTGTGTACAGGTGGTTTGCAGAGGGCAACTCAGAGCAGACAGAGCCCGAGGAAGATTTCTGCCAAGGACAGGATGCTGCGGAGGGTCAAAAGCCACACTACAGGCTTGCTGCAACCTGTCAGCATGGAGCACAGTGTCTTTTTAGCAGCACGGCAAAGGTAACTGTGCACACGCTCACACTCATGGATGCTCTTTCCAGTGTCTACGGGAAGCACCCAATGGACACGCCTGAACAACTAGACCCCGTCCAACCACCCATAGGAATCCGGCAAGACGACAGCTGCCTCCTTGCTGTCACAGCATCATTTGCATAGAAGTTTAATGAAAGAACAACAAAAAAAAATAAAGAAAAGCTTTCAAGATCTCATTGACATTCTTGCACCAACCCAAGAGCCTCCGTCGTTGCCATCTTCCCTTTCAACATCTGGCCACCTCCTCAGGGAACTGCCCTCTGGGAGCCGTCCTGCCACTCTCCTGAAGTCACTAAGCCAACGTTACCAGCCTGGAGACAGACACTGAAGCGAGACTAAGGATCAAAGGAGAGAAAGGGTAACTTTTCAGGCATCCTGCTCTGGGTTGAGGCTGGCTAGTGTTTTTCTCAGTCATCCTTTGCAGCAGAATTAAACTAAGGCATTGGAGGGAAGCACCAGCTTTCTTGATTTGGCTGATGATGGTCAATCACAAGGAGATAGATTGAAATACAGCACTTTTTTTTTTCTCCAGGAGCACTCCTACTTCATCAGCACTATTCCACACTCTTCCTCCTTCCCCTCAGCTTCTAAAAGTCTCAAGTGCAAAAGTCTACGGGACTGCACAAATGCAAGGTGTCAGGCATTTCACTGAGACCTGGCAGGAAACCAGGAGGCAAGGGACGACTGGAGGTCACTGCTTCGCCTCTGAGCTGCTCATGTCTGTCTGACTCAGTCTGCTTTGCAGATGTGAAACTAGGAAGCAACTGTCTTCACTTTTACTTATTTCTGCATTTCTGGTGACGCAGGCCAGGCAGAACCAACGTGAGCAGCCCTCTAATGCTGGAGCATC